TCAAAGTTTTATAATGGTATCATTAATACAGTTCAGGCATACTATATAATATCAATATAAAAAAATTGGTATCAATAAGTGTTTATTACAATAAAATTTCTTTTTGTTCAACGAAACAATTTTTATTAAGAATATCATTTTCAATAATTTCATTAAAAGTAGAATAGCGAACTGGTGCTTGCTTTTAATTCTAAATCATTAAACCAAATTTAGATTCATGTAAGATACTTATGCTATATTTGTTATTATAAAAGTAAGTATATAGTTAGCAAACCACATTGTATCATATTTTATCAGGTATAGACAAAAGCAATTTAATACAAAATTAACTTTGTGACTTATATAGACACAAGTAAACATATTGAAAAAATAGACACTGGGCAAAACGTTAATCGTATCGGATAAGCTTTCACAAAATATTTAGCTGTTTTCAGTCAGTTTTAAAAAGTATTTTTGTTTGTAAGTACAAATCATCTTATACAAAGGCAGCTGTAAAATGAGCAGAAAAAATATAATTCTTTGGGACTTACCGGATTAAGTTCTTTTTTCCAGCTGATAAAAGTACATACGACGGTCACTTTATATAGTTCAAATTTGGGGCGCTTGTGCAATGCGGAACACGATATATCTTGATAGTTTACGATAGGATAGGACCCTGCGCCTAGTTTGATGAAAATGTTGAGAAAAACATTAGGCTTATCTAGCCAAGGCCAGTATGTAAACATCCTGGCCCAGTTCAGAAAAAAATGCATTAAAGTTAAAAAAACAACAACAATAGTATAACGAAACAAACAAACAAAACAAAACAAAAAACGAAACAAAAACAAGAATAAATAAAGAAAAAAGTAATAATGATAAGACAATGAAAAAATCAAAAAAACAAATATTCCACTGAAATTGAAATCCCCCCCCCCCCCCCCCTAAAAAAAAAAAAAAAACAAAAAAAAACAACAAAAACAAAAATACAATAAATAAATAAAATAAAATGAATAAATAAAAAAATATAGAAAAATAAAATACATAAAATAATAGCTCTAAAATGAAAAAAAACTTGACATTTTGCAATCATTTTTATATTTTACAGTGAAAAACAAAATCACCAATCCACAAAGCCAACAGAAATTTCAATAAATATCGTCCAGAATGTATCGATAGCACTCAATCCCTAATCCCTAAAAGGAATGGGTCAGTCTCTCTATTATTAAGGTACATTTTTAGGTCGATATTGTATTATTAACAATTTTCATTCTTTCAGTTATATTAAAGAAATGTATTCCCCCACATTCCACTGTTATGTCAGTCTGCGGAATTGCACAAACAGCGGGAAATCGTGACACAGTGACAGTTTGACAGTGACAATGGGACAAATAACCTAGTGCACATCTGCCCGTCCTCAAAAGTGGGGACAAAACAACGCAATGAAATGATTCGCTTTGCATAGTATGATATGGTTTATTAGCTCAATTGACTAATTCACAAAAAAAGTAAAACACTAAAAAGGAAACTGCAATCTTAAAACAATCATTATGAAACTGCTTATGGGATATGATGTAACACACTTAGTATTTTCTCACTATTTTCTTCAAAGCTACAATAAGGTATTATACCCAACATGCCCACAACAATCAATAGAAAAGGACAGTCACTAAATTAGGACATCCTTATATTAAAATTATTCCATACAACCTGTTTATCTCATAGGTGATACGACTTTATCATGGCACGATAAAAAACTTAAATGCTTTTTAAAAATGGTGAAAGAATATATTTTATTACCATGTGTATATGAATTGTCTGTTAAAAATATGTTAAATGTTGGACATGATAAGCATATCATTCCACTGACATGAAAATTATTCCAATGTGTCTCTCCCCCGACTTAAGGGGATGATGGGACATATATATTTGCCCTGGTCTGTTCGTCTCGTTGTAACACTGTCATGCTGTCACACTGTCATGTTGTAGACAGACTATACAGTGACATTCAGGGACATCCATTTCTATTTATAGAATGTAAAAGAGATCTATAAACAATTTATTACTTATTGTCTGATAGATTCTTAAAAGCACACACTGTTTCTTCTTTAATTATCCCCCGTCGAAAAGGCGGCGGGGGATATAGAAATAGTCTCCGTCCATCCTTCCGTCCGTCCGTACGGTTTAGTCTATTGTTCTCATAACAATAGATGTCTTTGATGTTATTCATTCCGTTTCTCTTGTGGGGTTATTTTCTGCATTGTGGGGTTAAAAAGAACAAAAGAAATAATAAAAGAAAACCCCATAATGTAGCTCTGGTAAGAATGTCCGTCCTTCCGTCCGACATTTTTGTCCGGAGCATATCTCAAAAAGTATTTGAGGTATCAACTTGAAACTTCAAAGTTTGAATTATTGCCCTTTGTTATTTTTCATACTTAATTTTTCACCTGAGTGGAGCATAACTCAAAAGTGATTGAGATGTGAACATGAAATGTCATAGGTGGATAGATCTTATTGAGGAGGAATGCTTTGCGCAAGAATGATAACTCTTTGCCAGATAATTTTTGAGTTATTGCCCTTTGTTCTTTTTCATACTATTTTGTCCGGAGCTTATCTCAAAAAGTAATTGAGGTATCAACTTGAAACTTCATAGGTGGATGGATCTTATTGCGGAGGAGTGCAGTGCACAAGAATGATAATTCTACCCTGCATAGTTTTTGAGTTATTGCCCTTTGTTGTTTTTCAAAATTAATTTTTGTCCAGAGCATAACTCAAAAAGCCATAGAGATATCAACATGAAACTTCATAGGTGCATAGATCTCACTCAGGAGGTGTGCAGTGCACAAGAATGATAACTCTACCTTTAATAATTTTTGAGTTATTGCCCTTTGTTATTTTTTCATACTTAATTTTTCACCTGAGTGGAGCATAACTTAAAAGTGTTTGAGATGTGAAAATGAAATGTCATAGGTGGATAGATCTTATTGAGCAGGAATGCTGTGCGCAAGAATGATAACTCTTTGCTGTATAATTTTTGAGTTATTGCCCTTTGTTCCTTTTCATACTATTTTGTCCGGAGCTTATCTCAAAAATAGATTTTACTGAGAAGGGGTGCAGCACACAAGAATGATAACCTACCCTGCATTATTTTTCAGTTATTGCCCTTTGTTATTTTCAGCCATCAGTTTTCACATAGGTTTCAAATCTGTATTCACTTCAGCCATCAGTTTTCATTACAAAAAAAGGAAATTATTCTGCTCTACTACAAATACATTCTTCCAATGAGCAAAGGATGGCCATGTTGACATGGCTCTTGTTGAAATTTAAAACAAAAAGTTGCAGACATTTTGAGTTTGACTTTAAATATTTATGTAGAACTTTACGGGGCATTTTATCACTCGGTGAGAGACAGTATCTTAAGTGCAAGTAACGTCATTGAACCAGCTTAAAGACGTTTTCATTAGTTGTTTATTTTATTTAACATAGACAAATAAGTAATATTTAGACTAACGAACAGAATTTTCTTTTAGCCGGTTTAATTTTCCCTCTTTGTCAAAAATAAAAAAAAAAAGAACTGCAGGAAATGTCTATAAGTATAATTGTAGTTCCCATGAAACTTGCGTTACGTCTTATATTATCGGCTTGAATGGTTTTCCTTAAATTTGCCAGCTATCCAAAGGCAAACAAAAATTACTAAAAAAACACAAGTTTGAAATTTTTTCTTTTCACCCCTTGTATTTGGATCTTCTTCATTTTCACCTCTTCGCTTGAAAGTATCAGAAAATTCTAATTATAATCAAATTTTAATTAAAACCAAACTATCAAGTTAGTCGGTTTTTTATTGCAATTTACTGTATCACAAACAGAAACATTGTCATTATAAAGCATATTGTTTGTTTTTTCTAAAAACCCATTTCTTAAGTTACGCAGCCTGGGCAAAAGTACAGAAATTCAAGATGGCCGCCAATATGTCGATACATTTTTCTTGCAAACTTTATTCCAAAAAATGCTGTTTTTTTCTCTCTTAGATAACTTAAACATACAAACGTACCTTTCGTAACCCAGTAAACAATTAAAAAACGACAGAATAAGGTTCTAAATTGCAAGTATATTTATTAATACAAATGGCACATGTTTGTTCCGTCCCGAAAAAGGTGATACACACAGTTGAATATTATTCAACATTCGCTATAGTCATATCTTGCACTTGTTAAGTCCCTGCAATAGTTCGCCCATCTGGCCCTGGTATAAATAAGAAAGAAAAAAAGTATGTAATAATTGATTAACATTGTATATCAAATAAGTTACATGTTACATGGGAATAAGGGGACGGAGATGGTGGTGTGTGGGGGAGTTGCAGTGGGGGATGCGTCATGGTTTAGTAAATAATATGTTGTTTTTTCTGTAAGTGGAGAAATGTAAAAAGATTTGTTATAATTACATTTAAACAAGATTTTAGATATTAAACTGTTAGAATGTAGTTTTTTTCATTATAAATTATATCTTTAGGGATTTCATTTGAAAACCAAAATTCAAATCAAATATATCATTCATAGCTATCTTAAACTATATTTACTTTCAATATCTTACAAACTGTATTTCTTTTTACAAATGAAATGCCTTTTTGCCGCAACTTTATTAACGGCATGAGTACGGTATATAGTATTTACCAGTACATAATGTACTGGTAAAAGATCCACAATAATTCATTATTTCATTTAACCGACTTTTACTAAAGTGCACAGGGACGTCAAAGAGAAAGGGAATGTTCAAAGACATTTAGTTCAATCTTCATGTTTATAAGTGGGCAATGTTTGCCAGTAATGGCAACAACGGTGTCCGCGGGGACGTGCTAGCAACAGGAGAGTACTTTCAAGTGCAGTACACATTAATTTTGTATTAAAAAGTTATTTCCCCTTGCAAATTAAAGGAGTTCAGTATCATTAGCGGGATGATAACTGACTGTATATACTGTTTAAGAACTTGTATTTCAGTTTGTAAGTTATTTAGCAATACATAATTACCATTCGCTAAATCCTTTACATTGCTTGATCCTCACAGCGCAGTAGGCGTCATTTGAGATGTCTTCATTCAGTAAACCTGTTGAGAATAAATAATGTAGTAGTATAAACTGACTTTCATTCTATGACACCATGTAATCAATTTATGGAGCCGAAGTAACAATATGCAGTCACTCCGCTTATAACGAGATCAGTTTTAACGAGGTATCGCTTATGACATACATTCTATTGTGTCCCAGCCTTTTTCCTTCAATTTTCCTTTCATTTTATACCATTTATAACAAGGTCGGTTTCAGCGAGATATCGGTTACAACGTACATAAGACGATTCAGATATTATATAGTACCAATTCTTCAAATTTACCCTGGTGTTCTACAAATTTACACTTGTTTCCACAAATTCACTCTGTTGTTCCACAAATTTATACTGGTGGTCCTCGAAATATCTTCATCATGTAGGTTTAAGTTCTGTATAAAATTTCATAATTTCACTTCGAAACTATATGAATTGAAAACCCAATTATATCCAATGGGAAGCCATTATATTAAGCAAGAGTTAAAATACATGAATGAAACCAAGGTAGCAATAGATCGCTTCATTTTGACATTATATTAAACCAGATGTCCTGATATGAGATGAAATTATCAGTATATATAGATAAGCTAAATTTTACAATTTATGAAAACATGGCAATAATGTTTGGAGCCGTAGCATCAATACATTAGTCGATTTTGATATTTTGTGGTACAAATTCTTCAGTAAATGGCTCCAAATTGCCAATGTGTAGAATCAAATGTCCTTCTGTTAAGGTGATTTCGCTTTGTCAGCCATTTTTGTTCCAAAGTAAAAGTTGGTCAAAATTCATATAACAACAAAGCTCACAATGTAAAATGATGAACCATGATGAGCCTCAGAGCGAAATTTATCGAACACATTGAAAGTAATAATATTATACTCGCCAGAGGCAAGCAAAATTTCATATTTATTCAATTCTTTTGATAAATTCAATTGTCAAGCTAAGAGGGGTGTTCAAATATGAATGTAACTAGGCACATATCTCGCTTTTAGCCACGTTTTGCATGAACTATGGACTAAACATGTATCGCATAGATGGTTGCGTAAGCTCTCAATTGATTCAATACATGTGTAAATCAGTTCAGTCTAGCTTTGACAATAGCTGGATTAACGCTATCTACTTTTGTATACTAAAGCTGAAATGGTTGGGTACGGTCCTATATCAAGAACCGCTGTATTCTTGCTATACAGGCGACAGACATATTTAATGAAATATGTCGTGTTTATGGGCTCAATAGACTTTCTTGTCACACGATGCTGTAAGAAATTCAAAAGTGGTGTTCATTCAGTAAAAAAGATGCACCTTATGCACGCCGTCCGAAAACTGCAACTTCGCCAAAAATGGTGAGAAAGTAAAGGATTTGATTGCTATTGATGCAACTAGGTATATAGCTAAATACGTTGGTATCACTGTACAATGCTCAGACGTGATTTAAAATGAGAAGGAATTGTACTAGATGGATACCCCACCTCCTTACAAAAGACCCAAAACTTGCACGGATAAGAATCTCCAAACAAATGTTGAAACAGTTCCCTAAATACAACAATCGATCTTTCGCAAATAGTTTTTTAACATCGCTTACGATGAGACGTGGGTACACCTTTATGAACCAAAACGAAAGATACATAACAAAATATGGGCAACCAAAGGAAGTCAAAAACCTTGCATAACAAACGCACCATGAGCGTCAAAATTTTTTCTTTACCAATCAAGGTCCTGCTATTAAAATTGCCGTATCAAAGGGTAAATCTGTAAATGCCAAGTTTTACAAAGGCAAGGTCCTTCATAAATTAAGGAAAAATTTCAAAAACGGTCGACCAGCAACTTGTCTCTGTGGTGTCAGGTTGTTGCATGAGAATGCTTCGTCACACAAAGCGGCCATTGCACGAGAATATCTGACCTTGCCCCGTGTGACTTTTTCCTATTTCCGAAGCTCAAATATCATTTTGCTGGAAGAAAATATCAAACACGAAAAAAATCTTGGTTCTTCTATTTTCCAGTGTCTGAACAGTATACCTCGAAAATATAATAAAAACGCATTTTAAAATTGGATTTAAAGACTAAAAATTTGTATATTACATGTTGGTGAGTATTTTGAAGAATTGAGATTTTTTTTGGCACTGTTTATCACTTCTGAAAATTGACCGAGCTGCATTCATATTTGAACACCCGTCGTTATGGTGGTTGATTTGGTACACTTTACGCGTAGTGTTGTCGATAGCGACCACGCAACCTATATCGTTATCACCTTTTCGTCTTGTCGCTAGCTAAATGCGCCAAACGGCGCATTGTCGCACTGTCGTCCTGTCTTTAGAGAATCACGCCAACCGGCGCATTGTCGTGCGGCGCGTTGTCGCGATGTCGCCCTGTCGCTTGGCCCTGTCGCCAATCCTTCGATTTGAACCGAGCGACTATATGACATCGCGAGAACACGCCACACGACAACGCGCCGTTTGGCGTACATCGTTAGCGACAGGACCGCATGACGCTTTGTCGTGCTTTCGCTAGTGACAATACGACGCACAAAAGCGTTCCAAATCAGCCACTATACCTCGTACCCTTTACTTACTGCTGCACGTGTCACTGCATCCATATGTGTTTAACATCCAGCACGTCGTACCAAAATACCCGGATGGTCTGTCACACCAAATATCATTTAGTTGGAATATACCAGAGTCATTATAATGTCGCAAATTGTACTGATATCCACTTTCCTGCTCTACCAAACACACCCCTGACAGAAAATAATAAAGAAAACAGGGTGAATAAAAAACGTTTACAATACGCTAATTCTATACTCATTCGAAAATAATCGAATTCATATTTTGTTGAAATTATTTAACAAAAAATAATACAGAAATTATGTTGATTATTTGTGACCGTCAGGTTATCACTCTGTTCGGGTTTCATAGCAACGAAACGCGTCGTTACTCGTCTATACTATTCGTTTTTATGGAACGCCTTAAATGCCTCATTATAACTGTCTTTCAGTAGCATCTATTATGGTATTATGTGTATGTCCCATTATGTTATGTACCTACTTTATTATACAATGTGCATTTTATCAGAGTTTGTGCATTCTTAAAGACACATCATATCTCAGAAACAAATAATTATATATAGAAAGGACAGACGTGAGTTTTGTAATGTTTAAAGGTAGTTTCAAGTCAACGACATTAACCACTCAACCACGGACGCCCCTATTTGCATGAAACAATAATTTTTATAACATCATATAAATAACACATGGGTGTGTGGGTGACAGTAAACATATCATCCCGAGGAAAATACTGTTACCCGAGGGATGATATTTTTACTGTTACTCACAAAACCATGTGTTATTTATTTTATTACTCCAAACAAAAACACTGTGATGACAGATCTGAAATTGTCAATTAAATCAAACGGTAACAAAAATAAACCAAGAGTAACAATAATAAACTGTCCTTACCTTTTAAGTTTTAAGTGTACTTTAGGCCTACTTGAGAAGTTTTCTTTTTCTTAAACAGCTTATTGTATGTTTATGGCTAGTAGATATCATCACGATATCTACTAGCCATAAACATACAATAAGCTGTGTTTTATTTAGAAAAACAAAACATTAACCCATTCATACGGTTATGATCTGTGAAATCTGATTCTTCTGTTTCCAGAATATTCTTCGCATTGTTTTTTATGATTTTTCAAAATGACGATGATACTGTATCCTATGCCTGTCCCACAATATCTGTAACGTTTCACTTATTAAAATTGTTAAATAATCCTTTGTTGCATGCTTAAATCGTCTGCATGTTCCAGTTTGACACATAATTATTCACATTGCAATTACTTCCTTTGAAAACGGATGTTTACTTTTTGACTATTCAACTAAAAGATATTTTATACGCGAAAAGCACTCCAGGGTGCAAACAACAATATTTTGTTGGTGTCACAGTTACTCCAGAGAAGATGGTGATCTCTTATTGTGGTGAACGTCTAAAATAAGAATGAATCGAGAGAAAAATGGCGGCCATTTTATTTCATTTTATTTAGAAAATAGACCACGTGACCAGTTTTTATACTGTTAAAAAATACTGTTGCCTATGTAACAGTACAAAATTCTTAGACACGTGGTACACTTGCATTAACAGTAAGAATAACACCCAGAGGCCTATGGGAAATAAACATTTCGAAAAAAGTGAGGGGTAATAAAAAAAAATATGCACACAAAACAAATATGCAGGCGCAGGCGCATTATACTATAAAGTCTGCACATAATGTAATCAAGTATGTACATAACATAATCAAGATTTAACCCCAAAAAATGCACATAATATAATCAAGAATGATCATAACATTATACAAATTGTTATAACAAAATGGACATAGACTAATAAAGAATGCAAATTATGTGATAAAAAATGCACATAACATAAGCGTTAATGCATATAAAATAATAATGACATGTATAATGAGGCACTAAAGGCGTTCCATACATATTGTTAAAATGTATACTAGAATGCTATATTTAGTAACTAATGCAATAATTTTCAAACACGATCACTCTAATTTCAATAAATTCAAATTCATCTTTAAAATAAATCCAACCGAGTAACTGGACACATAAAAATTCGTAATATATCATATTCCTTGACCGATTTTTATAGGGACCCAACACAGGTTATTCTTACAAGATGGGTTAACCCTTATATGAAGTTCTTGTATGCAATCAGATCATTACCTTATAATAAAATGACCCCAAGACAAAAAGTTTTAAAACTCAAATCTTGCAAATAACTGCACAAAAACGCCGATTTAAATTTAATTCTAAGCATATTTCCCAACTACTATTTTTGAATTAGTTATAAGTTTTCGTTTAAAGTGTACCACTTGATCTACTATATTATAATTTATTTACAATTCTATGAGTTAGTCTTTGGTACCTCGACGGAGCTCAAAGCATTACCTTTGTCGTTTTTTAAAGGAACTCCATTGCGATTCAGACACCTAAAAACATAAAATTTGAATTCCTTATATAGATCAAATGGCGCACTTAAAACGGAAATAATTGCAAAAGATAAAACACAAATGTAACCCAAATTAAATTGAAAATCGCATTTTTTTGGGCAATTCGAAGCTTGATTGAAGTGAAAATTGTTGAAATATTGGATTTTCTTTAATTTTTTGAATTATTTTTCACAATTGAATTAATTATTTTGGAAACACGGACCTGACCCAAAAATTGAATATTTCTCCATTTCAATACTAGTGATATATACTTACAATTTCTTAAATCTTCTTCTCGAGCACCCGCTTTACGAAGAGCGTCAACAACTTCGCATTTAGTTTTTGTTGGTGTGAATATTAACGCATCCAAGACGACGATCGTCATTAAAAGTACTGCAAGCATTTTCACTTCCAACATGGTTGAGGATTACCTTTTTTCAGTTTTGCGACACTGTAATATGAACATTTTCAATGGAATTGCGTGTAATATGAAATGGTTATATATGTTATATACATATTCAAAGTTTGTTACAATTTTTTTTTTATGAAGTATCATTAAATATGTCAGTGGCCGAGTGGTTAAGGTCGTTAACTTCAAACCACTTGCCCCTCACCGCTGTGGGTTCGAATCCCGACAGGGACTTTGGAAAGTCTTTCATGTGAGGAAACTATCAAGCTAGCATACGGAACGTCGGTTGTTCTACTCAGGTGTCCGTTCGTGCGGATGGGCACCTTAGGTCTCACCAGCAAAACTGGAACGTCGCCCGTATGACCTTTACTGTGTCGGTGTGACGTAAAACCCCAATCAAACAAACAAGCAAAGAGCTTGCTTGTTTGCAATGCGTAATTCGTATCGATTTATTCAGGGAATAGACATAAACACATACAATGTTATCACATATATCAACTTGCATATATATAAAAACACACACATAAATGCAACAAAAATAATTATCAGATTAATTAATGAGTATGTTCTATGTCACCCTAGGATTGCCCATTAAGCTAAAAGCTTATTTCCATTGGAGTCCATTTACTGTAAAATTATCACACTAACTTACATAATAATAATAAATGAAGTTAAATTAAATGACAATTTTTAAAAAAATGTTCAACAATCAAGACACATTTTTCAATATAATAAGACAAGTACATTGTACACAAACAAAATGAAATAAATTGCGTTTGAACTAAAACATTATCAAGTACCACATAAACATGTTACAAAACCTTATCATAAGTTACACATCAATTTAATAATAAATAAACATATTATTCACTTGTTTTCATTTTCATTACTTAAAACAGTTTTACTTTCGTTTTAAATGTTTGGATATTGTCAATTGACCTAATGCTGTCTGGTAAAGAATTCCAGTCTTTTATGGCATTGAAGAAAATTGTGTTTGTAACATGAGAATCATTTTGAGGAAAAACAAAATTAAAATTACTAGATCTTAAATTGGATATTCTACATACATGTACTTTAAACAATTCCTTTAGATAAGAAGGGCTTTTGTTGTAATAAACTTTATGAATGTGGTTGAGTCTTAACTGTCTAACTCTATCATTAACATTAAATATTTTAAGGTCAGACAGAACCTTATTTGTCACCGAAGTCCTAGGTGTATAGTCTTTTATAAAGCGCACAACCTTATTTTGTGCTACTTGAAGTTTGTGCTTCAGTGACTTACTCAGTCCTTCGTACCAAAAAGATGAAGAATAATCAAAATAATTTACTTTCTTTGTTAACTTGACAACAATTTACTTTTTAATTCATTTTCAAAAAATATTCTTGAAAATTAGCTGAAACTGGAGGCGTCCTGCTTCAAGTAGATCTTCCTATGCCATGCTTTGTTAAATATTCTAACACTATCGGAAATTTTTCTACATAAAAAAAAGAAGACTATTCTACAACAATGCACTCGCCGTTCTTTTTATCTCCCTGTGTAATTTCTCAATGAGGGCGCCATTTTGTTTGAAAAATCTGATAAATAAAATCAATTTATTGTCGAATTTTGTTGTGAAAAGTATCTAGAATGAAAGAAAATGGTCTAACTAAGAAAATGAATCCGAACACCAATATCTTTAATTCAGTCGTTAACGCTGTACAGACGTTTAAAGTGTTGTTTACGTGACGTCACAATGTAGCGCCAAACATCACGTGCAAAACAATCAAATCAAGTACGTTATTTTAATGTCGCAAACGAGTTAAGTTTGAGTGAGACTAAAAAAAGGATTGGAGCACCACACTAATCAAAGGGCTGCAACATCTGTGGTATTTTCTGATCTTTGCAATCTAAATCATACTGACTATCTGTATGTATTTTCCTGTATAAGTTTATTTTTATATACTGTAATTAATCTTACGCAGTGATTGCGTCTATAACAGTTTGAGATTGATACATATGGAATTTTGCATGACGAGTTGCATCAAAAAATCATTTTTCATTTTTTATGACAGCCACACTTTATCCTTGCATATCGTGGCTACTTCCTTAAAAAAGACACTTCAAAAAAAAGTTGCCTCGACTAGGATTTGAACCTTAGGCCTCTCACACCCTAAACGAGCGCGCTACCTCTGCACCACGGTGAAGTAATACATATGTAGCTTGAATAAAAACAAATACATTGTAATTCTAATTTGAGAATTTCCATTTCGTGTTTGTAATTTTTAGTAATTTCGAGATATTTTGTTCACGATAAACCTGTTGTTTAACACTGATAAAAATAATTTAGCGAAAATCTTCTCGACAAAACAGTACGACATGTATATATTCCACTACTCGACAGTCAGATTTATTTGTGTACTACGCTCTGGAGTATTCGGTAATCGACATAGCTAAAAATAGCATTTTCATTGATTAAGCTTTATGGAAATAGCTGAACATTTTTCATTGGGTAAAAAAAGATATTCATTCGCCAAATTTGTGATTGTAACCTCATATCTCTGTTGACTAATCTAAACATTAAATGCACTGTAATTCGTTCAATGCCTGCTTTAAAAATTATAATTTCTTTTAAATTGCTGGTTTTTCAGCCGTTTTGCGTGAGAACTACTTTGCGTCGTTAGGCCTGTAAGGAAATTCTGTGTTAGACCGTGGATGTTAGCTATGTATTTACTGATCTTGCGATCAGAAAATACAAAAACCGTATTCCGGTACATACCGGGCAAGGCGCTTGAATCATAAAATGCTAAAATATTGCTTTTTTACCCAACGGAATGAACTGAAATAGGTCTAATTCATCTTTTCAAACCGATTAATATATGATAATGAATGAAAAATGTAAAAATCGGCGAAAAAAAAACGATATTTGTCTGTTTTGTGATATTGATTTCTGCAAGCGTCTAGAGGTACTGCTCCAATCCTGTATTGGGTTAAATCCGTTAAGTTTTACATTTATTTCACTTTTAATAATTTGTATTTCGCTTGAAAAGTTATAGAGTGAAATAAAATAAACAAAAACAGTTTTATCAACGTTTTCAAAATTCGTTATTCTGAAAATGTTTCTACACACGGTAGATTTAACGACAGTTTTGTTTCAACCCACTGGAACAGCCTTTAAAAAACGTTTCTATTGGAACCTCTGAGGTAAAAACAAATTTAACCACCAAACATGAAGTCCAACTTAATAATAATAATTATATTTTTTCTTGACGTGTTAGAATGGAAATAGATATTAATTCTTCGTGCATTATTGTATAATAATGCACGTTTTTCGTTCAAATGCTTTGTAATTAATCACTCAGGCCTATCGGCCTTCGTGATTATATTAATACGCATTTGAACTCAAACCGTGCATTATTCTACAACAATGCACTCAGAATTGATATATATTTCCTAATGGATTTAACTCAATACAGGATTGGAGCAGTACCTCTAGACCCTTTCAGAAATCATGATCTCAAAATAGACAAATATCGTTTTTTTTCGCCGTTTTTTACATTTTTTTATTCATTATCGTACATAAATCGGTGTGAAAAGATGAATTAGACCTGTTAAAGTTCATTCCGTTGGGTAAAAAGGCAAGATTTTAGCATTTTATGATTCAAGCGCCTTGCCCGGTATATACCGGAATACCATATTTAGTGAGGTGCTCCAATCCTTTTTTTAGTCTCACTCTTTCCTAGTTATAGTTAAGTACGAGTATATATGCGTATTAACAAATAACATTATATCATACTTAATCAGATAAAAAATGATAATTAAATAAAATAATAATAAAAATAATAAAAGAAATAAAAATTAGGAACGTACCGGATTTCTTTCTTCTTTCCAGCTGATTAAAGTACATACGACCGTCACTTTATATAGTGCAATATTGGGAGGTCTTGCAATGCGGAACAAGGAAATATTATGATATTTTACGATAGGATAGGACCCTGCGCCTAGTTTGATGAAAATGTTGAGAAAAACATTAGGCTTATCTAGCCAAGGCCAGTATCTAAACATCCTGGCCAAGTTCAGAAAAATGTATTAAAGTTGAAAACATTAACAACATTATAAAACAAATAAAACGAAAATAAAGAAATAGAAAGAAAATATTTTACGATAACAAAATAAAATTAAATTAGAAAAAAACAAAAACAATCCACTTAAATTAAAAAAATGAATAAATAAATAAATTTTTTTTTTTTTATCAAACTGATGCATAAATAAAATAATAATAACAATAATAAAAATACAGAGAACCGATAGACCGGCTATCTACACTTTGTATTATTTTGTTTCTTTTCACCTCATTTAAAGTGACATTATGCCCATTCAAGCGAACAAGTTTACAAAAAAATAACTTTTTTCTTAATAAATTTTGCCATAGTTGTGCTCAGTTTTATTTTTTACAATGAAAAAATAAAAATCATTGATACACGTAATCAACAGATATTTAAAAAATGACGTTAAAATAACGCTAAATTCCTAAACAAGAGGACCATGATGGCCCTGAAGTCGCTCACCTAAAAATAGAAACCCTTCATGACAAGGAACAAGTAATATTGTTAAATATAAACAAAAGCTGACATAAAATCTAAATCTTGTACTGATATTACAAAGTTGATATTTGTATCTGAAATAGTACATTTGTAAAAACATAACTGGTTGCTGTTACTAAGAAAAAACAACAGTTCCAAAAGTTGTGTACATATTAGGATAATCAATGACCCCCCCCCCTCGGGGGGCTAATTTTGACCTCATGGCTTTTATTTGAACAAACTAAAAGATGTTCATGCTAAATATGGGTTTTTCAAACAAGATTTTTTAAGTTTTCGATATACATATAAGGAAAATCAATAACCCCCTTGGGCGGGGCCAATTTTGACCAAAGGGCTTTTATTTGAACTCACTTGGTAGTCACTCACTAGAAGATGTTTCATATTTAACATCTAAGCTCTAGCTCCTTGGGTTTTTTAAAAGAAGACTTTTTAAGTTTTTACAAAAAACATATAAGGAATATCAATGACACCCCGGTGCGGGGCCAATTATGACCCCGGGGCTTTTATTTGAACAAACTTGGTAGACACTCACTAGAAGATGTTCCCTGCCAAATATCCAAGTTATAGCTCTTTGGGTTTATAAAAGAAGATTTTTAAGCTTTTTCTTTCGGGTGCCATGTCATCCAGAGTTCTGAGTGGAAATAAATGTTTTGAACAAATTTTAAAAGGCGACCACCAAAGGAACATTCATTTGAAGTTTGGATGAAATTGGCTAAGTGGTTTAGGAGGATATTAAATCTATTGAAATATATTACTACATGTAATCATATGTAACTTGACAGCAAACATTCTCTCTTCATAACGGAGCATGCACGTCGCAGAGAAGGCACATGGCACAGAGCATCAAAACCTGGTGGACACATGTTAAATCCAAGCGACTATTGTGTTACATAAAGGGCATGTCCTGGAGACCAAACTACCCTTGTTCCGATGGCGAAGGATACTTTTTCTTCCTTAACGGGCGAATAGACCCTCATACAGTATATATTACATGCATTGTCAGCGAAATAATGATCATAATGTCACTTTAAAGTCTGACATGAAAAATTGTTATCATTTTGATAATCATATAGACAGATATACGGTTATATGGGTTTGTACTGATGAAAGGAAAAAATGGTAAAATATTGTGAATTAAGTTGTGAATTTAACATAAATTTGACCAATAAAATTCCCGATGTTGTTGAATCATTAAAACATCCTGTTGGACTCTCTTGACCGTCTACGGGACAGAATCGAACACTTATGATGTAAGTGTAGCTAATTTAAAAACAAAATATGAAATAGAAAGAGCATTGAAACACGAGGCTATCTGATTTGTACGAGGGGAGTATAATAAAAGCATGTTCTATGTCGTCACAATGTTAAACCCAAAAAATAAATAACAAATATATGAGCATCTGAATGTGACTTTTCTATCGTTTCCTCGACTATGACATTTGGACGAATACGTCAGTACATCGACACTGAGAGTTAATTGATATCCTTCTTTTAGCGACATTTCCTCTGTTTATAAAATAAAACAGCATTTTTAACTTTTATACAAATTTGTCGACCATATACCAGTCATCCTTTAAAATGTCCACCATCTAAACAAAGAGGCGAAACAAAATTATGTTCTCTTTTGTTCTATTCTATAATAGCAGTAATAAATATGTTGTAGTGGCAAGTTCAGCATATTTTGACACATAAAAAACCATTTTTTCGTGAAGTTAGTTTCATAAATAAGCTTAATACACAAAATCATAATTTGTTTTACCTTTTTCGATTGCAACACAATTATTGAGGGTGTTCTGCTTTCATAGAGTCGTTTAGAATTCGACAGAATATAAAAGAGGGCAACAGTTTAGAGTATAGTTCACTGACGATGAATTTTGAATATACCTTTTATACAAGAACAAATATGTAATCTGAATTATTCTTACGAGGCAAAATTTAGTGCCGAACGATAAGATGAAAACTCACTATACTTAATTCTCTTCAAATACTAAACGATGATTCGTTAATACGTATATAAATGTACGTTTAGTCAAGCTGACTATACAAAGAAATTCGTTAAGGTTAACTTTGTTAAAGCTAGACCATAGTTTCATATGATGTCCTTAAACTTAAGAGTAAGTACTTCAACATAATGCATTGGGGTGACTTGTGTTAGAAGTGAATCGTCTGAAAATCATCAGCGATGTGTCTTAGATAATTACTTTGCAAACCATACTGTTTATCAATTATTATTCGACCGTTCCGTGTGATAATATCTTAACTAACTGTTAGTCTCGTACTCTCGCAAAGAGATTTTTTACATACAATTTCAATAAATTCACAACAATATTTAATCACGTTCGATTATAAAAAAGAAGTATATTTTAAAACGATATATGGCCGAGATAAAGTTGGTTTTATTGCAAAAAATATTTCGTTTTATTTGCTTTCATGAACAACATTACCGTTTGTGTCGTTATTTTGGACAAACTAAATAATGAGATATTTAAGCAATGTTAAATAAATTGTGAGAGGAATTATGATAAAACAGAAGATAAAAATCTAAAAAAAAATTATCTTTAGAAAGAAATCTAAAAAATAATCTTTAGAAGAAGGTTCGTTTCCGGAACTCCTTTAGATTAATCTAAATATCAATGGTCTTCATATTCACATGCCAATTTTGATATTTGATAATGTAGAACAAACTTATGTAAGTTTATTTTTCCTAATATACGCATAGATTTATTGGCAATTGCTTTAGTTCATCAACAGAGCTATATTTATGTTATGTAAGCGTCTTATTCTTCCATATAAGTATATTCTACAGGAAGTTCATCTGATTTTAGACGGCCTTGGCCACTTATCTTTACATTTATCTTACATGTATGTAGATAAGCTCTCTTCGCAGCTCATTGAAAATACTCACGTTACTTCATACAGTGAGCGATAGTGGAACATCGGCAATCTAGGGTTATTAGAACATCATACTTGTGAGAGAGAGGCTTAAGGGGGCAGGGGACCTAATAATGAACAATTTTGTATTTCAGTGTGGCCAGAAACACAATTCCAAATATTTCAAAATCTGTTTCACAGGCAGATAACCAGTTGCACAGCACTATTCAAAGATATATGACATACATTGAAGAAAATAATATTTTGCATGCATGACTGACAGCAATTTATATTTACCCCCACCCAGCCAAAATCACACCTTAAATATACCAATATTGGCAATCTTCATAAAGGTGCAGAATACTCCAGAATCCGCCCGGTTCCTTTAAAAATATCACTAACACGCAGTGCAAGCTATTGCATTTTCAAAAATGATCAATAAAGTGTCTGTCATACGTTTAGACTTTTCACAAAATTTATCTGAAATTTCTTACTTGTTTGACGCCAACTGTCAAAGCTTGATTTTTAACTTTTTCACCTCCATTCGGAGAGTCACAAATATATATACAAAGCTACCAATATGCTTAGTTCCGGGTAAAAACCCAAAAATACTGCTCATTTCCTACACACAATCAAGAAAGAATTACAATGACAGAGAAATATCAGAAGTTTCCAGTACCTTCAAGTTATTAAAAAATTTGACCGGAATATGTCCCCTGCCCCCTTACTCGGAACACCTCGGGCGGTTTCAAGATCTCCGAAGTTGACGGAGATTGCCGAGTTGTTACGATTGCTACCTCCTTTTATGTCACTTCCTTACTCAGTGTTTTCGAACACTTTCGAATGTAATATTTTCGTATCCGATTAGGGGCAATTTAAGTACTGAAATATATATTTATTTGGTAATGCTTTATTTCAAATTATTGAGATGCCTTTGATTTTTTTATCGCTATTTGCAGTTGATTGGATCTTAAATCAATTGGAATAAAGTTAGAAATTATTTTCTTCGATAAATTAACCAATCTCGCACGTACATATGATACTCTAGATAATGTTGGTATAACTTGAGGTCAAACCCTTTCGTATGTACATTTAATTGCATTTATCCTTAGGATAATGATGTTAGATTGTTTAAATATATCATGTACAAAATATGCAATTAAATATTATTAAACTAAACTAAAGTACATATCATAATGCATGATTTTATTTTTATCCTATACGTCAACATGACCATAAACATTTTACTTACAACGACCATCGTCAATTTTCGTAACGATTGGCAATAATTTTAAAATATGACAAGAGACAAGAGTTACATGGTCATAACCATTTCTAACGGATGAAAGGATGACTTTAAAATTATAACAAAAATATCATATGTTCCCAATTGTATTCAGTGTAATAGTTTGACTAAAATAGCCAAAAATAAACGGAAAGAATCGTCAATTAATTCATTTAAAAAATGTTCATTGATATTTGTCACAAAGACTGCGGCATGCCTGCATAGTGTCGAAAGCGTTTTGCTTTGGTTTTACATCGTAACATGCTACTGGCATTTTTTCGCAACTGAACCCGTTCCATCGCCATACGTTGTCAGACCTCCTGCAATCACCGATTGAAGGACTTCTCCCGCCACACTTTTTCCTGTCACATTGGCACGTTACCATGGCAACACCAACGGCGAGGACCAGAATAATTGCTATGAATTGCTTCATTTTTATCGTATATCTGAAAATGGAAACGATAAACCAAGATGACAAACAGTATATTATTTGTTTTTGAAAATATAGAATAGAATAAAAAAAATGGGTTCATGTTTCGGACGGAGTCACATGTACAATGTTTGTCCTTTTTTATAATGAAACATAATTATGTGTCGATGGTAAACCAACATAAACACAACCAAATCGTCCTTCCTTTTTCATGTTCCTAATTAATTTTTATATTTTCTTTTTGTAGTTTTAGAAATATCAAGAAAACATATTTTTTGTAGAAAACATATAATTTTGTTGCCCATTGAATATATTAAAGATATATTATGCTCCAATTTGAGACTTGAAAATATTATACAAATATGGACTTTTTAGCTGGTGAATATGATGTAATATGTACGGTCAATATTCATTTTTCAGTACATATCACATCAAAAGTATATATCTGTTTTATTATAAAATCTATAATTATAATTAACTATATTATATAATTTTTATGGGATCATATCAAATCTGCCATTGAATACGACAAAAATTGCCCTTTTTTTTAGCTTGTTCTACTTTTCCGACAATTTAATGAGCGCAATGGCACGCTAAATTCGAATTATTTTTTAAAAATGTAAAGACGGTAACTAAACTAGACTAATTTGACTTTTATTTGCGAGTTGCCCATCGTTTAAAAACAATAACAAATTTGGCGTCAAGTCAAGTCATAGCCCGCGTCTTTGTGGGCTTTCATGAAAATCTATTTGTAGAGAAAAAACGATGAATATACTTTTTATACGAAAAAACAGGGAATATACTCTTATATTCACTAGTTATATTTTACTAAAAAATTACATCTTAACCAGTCGGAGAAAGTCATTTTAAAGGTATTTATAGATCATATAATAATGATGATCGCTACACAGTCTTTTTGTAGATATAAAATTAACATGTTTTGATTTCGCAAAATTTCTACATACTATAGGTGGTCAAACTATGAATCTATAGTGCCATTTAAAAGAAAATTATCACTTTTTTTAAATAATATTTTTGTTAGAAAGAAGCAGCTTTCTTGAGCTTTTCTTGAACTTTCTCTCTCAAAATTAAACATATTCAGTAAGAATTTCATAAAACTGGCCTCCAGGTTACAAAACATTTTTCTGAGTTTTGACTTAAATCTCAAGATTTTTATTGGTCAGTGTACATCCTATAAGAGTTTCTGACCAAACAAATAACTGATATCTGAGTTTGAGCTTGAAAAATCTCTTTATAACCTGTGACCCTGATTTCAATAAATTTCTGTGATAAAAATATTATATCTTTAAAATTCATAATTTTACAAGGAAAGCAAATAGGACCATTTAAAGCTTTTGATTTGTTACGTAAGCGTACAATGTTTCTATGATGATAAATTAATATATTCAAAATAACTTTATAATATTCTTATTCTAACATACAGAGATGTAAAAGACGTTTCGTATACTAGTTAGATAGAAGAAATATTGTTACACACAAATAGATGATTTATTTTATACAAGTATCACAAAATCTTACCTCAGACAAGCTGCTCAAGTGTTCTCGGTATGTTAGAACAACCTGCGCTTTTTATAGTAAATGCTAGAACTTGACATTGCCCTTAGCTGTCAAATATTTCTGGAAGGCAATCTGTAACAGGTTGGAACTTCAATCATTTGATGACATTGTGTAACATTTGACAGGCATGGAAGTGTCCTTAGGATCTAAGTGAAAAAAAAGGAAAAAAGAGTTAATTCATTGTCACTTAACTGTGACAGAAACGGGAGGGGGTATACAAAACCTTATTTTTCAGTCATAATTACAGATAAGATAGAATATTGCTTAGTATTGCGACATGTGCATGAGTACAATAACATAACGTACAAGGGGAAAAAAGACACGAAACTTTTGAGCCTATATGTAACCCGTACAAGAACATAAAATTTCGACTCCACCTGAAATATACTTTGACTGAGACTGTACAGCAGTAAATAATTGTCCGCATGTTTATCTAGGAGAATATTGCATTTAGTAAAACAGGGAGGAGTCGCTGGTTCGATCATCGTGTGAGGCGTAACCTTTCGGCAAAAAATCGGTTCGAACTTTGAGACTATTTGCCATGTGTTTCTAAATCGCTGATTCAGAGATCAAGTGGGCTAAGTAGCCATTCCTTTGGCAACAAATTGACAAGTACTGGTTAGTTATCCTTGGTGTGACTGACCGCTGCGATACGGATCAAAGAAAGAAAAAAGAAAAATATTTCTAAGTCGGCAAGAAAAAGAAAGAAAAAACATGTTTATAAATTACCAGAGTAGTTGATAACGCACTGAATTCATTTCCATGGCTACAGGGTTGAAATGTAATGTTGCTTAGCATATGGAGCTTTTATGTAATATGATAAATGAGATAACAAGGTTTTGGCTATTTTATTTCTGTACAGACATAATTCAGTGTGATTAAATACAAGTAATTTATCATTGACTATAAACATACCAGTTAACCTCGGGAAATGTAAAATATATTTATGCTCCCCATGTAATAGAAACAATAATTGATGGTTTAACAGTCAACTCGAGGCAATCTTTTGTATTTTTACATCTGTCTCATCTCTATAACCTATATAACCTATGACGGATAGAAAAAAAACAAACAACAACATTCATTTATTGGGTAAAATCCACTCATGACTTGTCGAAGGTCCATAACCCGTCACAGAAAAACGTACTCACTCGACCCTTGATTTTGGAAGCTACTTTATTACCGAGAGATGGTAGATCTCTCGGTGAGGTGTCACCGAAAACCTTCATGAAATTACCTGTTGTCAATAAATTCAAAGTGAATAAAATTTTATTAGCGTCATCTGTCGTGTATGTAGGATATCTACATTGGTATACCGTTTCTGCAATTCCACCGTCTCTCAAATCAGTGAGGTTCGGTCCATCCATTCAACGGGTTGGTTGAGGTCATCTATGTTGAACACGTAAAATATGTGTCCCCAATGTTGTTTTTGTAACTTTTCATTTACAAATATACTCGATTTACTTATAATCATTTAAAATTGGATGTGTGGGTTTAAAGGTGAATGATATAATTGATGGATTGCTTGCAGACAAAATGATTACCGTTTAGATATTGCAATGATTAATTTGACGGGAAGATGGCGATTACTGGACAGTCAGTCAATTGCTGAAACAGAAACAAAGGAAATTGATGAGGTAAAAGTCAAATTATATATTTAAAGTTGCATAGTAAAATATGATTACGTTTCAATACTATTATTACAAATTACTATCTAAAAATGTATTATATTTGGCATTCACCGTGAATATATTTCAGTTAACAATATGTACAATATTTACTCAAGGCATTGCTGATGTTTCTGTTTACATCACATGGCCTTTGCTTCCCACCTTTTACTTTTCCTTTATAATCTATGAACAGTTTGCTTTACATTAAAGCATCAGTACATGAAGGATTCTATTTCCCACAGCTGTTTTTTTTGCAGTAAACAAAATGTTTTTGTGCGTAGATTTGAATATATTGGTCTCTGTCAGAAATACTGAAAAAAATAGCTACAGTTGGAACTTGTAACTATAGGAAAACTTGGCCTTTAAATCGTGTATGAATAAACGTGTATAGACTGTTTTAAATATTTAATTGCTGAACAGTCAAATCTGTAAGAGTTTTCTTGAACGGACAAAAACACCTTCATGTAAAGTTTTCCTGATCGGACAAAAATCACAACCTGTAAGAGTTTTCCAGAACGGACAAAAGTCCAACCTGTAAGAGCTTTCAAGAGCGGACAAAAACCCCAAACTGTAAGAGTTTTCAAGAGCGGACAAAAACCCCAACCTGTAAGAGTTTTCCAGAGCGGACAAAAACCCCAACCTGTAAGAGTTTTCCAGAACTGACAAAAACCCCAACCTGAGCAGACAAAAACAAACACTTCAATTTTCCTAGGAGGTAAAAGTCTACTACAAAAGGTAAATGAGACTTAACAATCGCTGCACCATTTTCTTTAAAAATGGAAGTTAGAATATTAAAAAGCTGTAATTGATGAAGTATATACGGATTATTTTTTATTAAAATCGTTAAATTATTCTATTTCCATACTCGTATGCTTGATTTCCGAAACAGTTGTTATTTTGTGTGTCTCTAGTATTTTATACACACCAACTAGAGAGTTTTAACAGTATAACTGCAAATTGGCTCTTATTTGGCAGAAATTAGTGTAGCCGCTTTTTTCATTAAGAGACGAGTGCTTATAGTGATAATTGTGATTGGTAAATTTGCATTAGGCGAGATCAGGTGTTTCAGTTGATATTACCCAAAGTGAGGACACATTAAAATTTATTTCATAGATAATACACGTAGAGGTCGCAGGGACAAATCATTACACGGTGACTTTTTGACATCCTTTTAACTCTCAGAAAAATGTCAATTATAAATTGCTGACTGTTTATATTTTTATAGAACAAGTAAGAAAAACATTATGTTGTTTCATGTGACAGGAATAAACTTCATTTATTTAACAATCCTATATATTTCGAAAACTCATTATTTTACATGCTAGATTAAGTAATTGGACCCATTCACCTGTCAACGTAAATTAAAGTGTTTCTGTACGTGACTGCTGGTGACAGACATTGTGTGCTTGATTAAAAAGGTAACACTTTCACTATTTTCATATCTGGTATTGAGTTGTAAGAGCCAATTTGCAGTTTTATACACGGTCGTCCTAATACAAACACTTACCTATACATAGCAATGATTTTGCGCTTTTCTTATTTAACTCTCAATATACAGACAAAATTCTTTCATACGGATCTATTGGAAGAACTAATTTTGCTAAATTCAGCTAATAACTTTTTAACTACAGACAGCAGATTTAAAGCTTTTTTTACACTTCAAAATCAATGTGTATATCTTAATGTTTTAATGCATATTAAGAATGTAATGTACTTGTGAACACTATCTTGCAATATACTATTACAACAGCCCAATAGCTACATTGAAAATATGCACGATCATGCAGCTACAAATATTAACAAAATCATAAGTCTTAATAAATAAAACTATTATAAGAACAAAGTGTAAAATCATACTGTTAAATAAAGAAAACTGGTATAAGAGCAAAGTGTAGTATCTTAATGCTTTGTAAATAAAACTGGTATATGAACAAAGTGTAATATCATAATGCTTAATAAAGAAAACTGGTATAAGAGCAAAGCGTAGAATCATAATGCTAAGTAAATAAAACTGGTATAAGAACAATGTGTAATATCATAATGCTTAGCAAATATAACTATTATAAGAACTAAGTGTAATATCATAATGTTTAATAAAGAAAACTGGTGTAAGAGTAAAGTGTAGTATTTTAATGCTTAGTAAATAAAAATGGTATATGAACAAAATGTAATATGATAATGCTTAATAAATAAAACTGGCATAAGAACAAAGTGTAGTATCTTAATGCTTAGTAAATAAAACTGGTATATGAACAAAGTGTAATATCATAATGTTTAATAAAGAAAACTGGTATCAGAGCAAAGTGTAGTATCATAATGCTTAATAAAGAAAACTGGTTTGAGGGCAAAGTGTAGTATCATAACGCTTAGTAAAGAAAACTGGTATAAGAGCAAAGTGTAGTATTATTACGCTTAGTAAATAAAACTAGTATATGAACAAAGTGTAATATCATAATGCTTTGTAAAGAGAATTGTTATAAGAGCAAAGTGTACTATTACAATGCTTAATATTTTAAACAAGTGTAAGAGCTAAGTGTCTTATCATGATTTCAGTAAACTATGATATTCATTCTGTTCTTATACTAGTTTTATTTATTCAACATTATGATATTTCACTTAGCTCTTAAACTTGGTTTAAATATAAAGCATTGCAATACTTCACTAAGTTTGCTCTTATACCAGTTTTTTTTATTAAGCATTGTGATTTTATAAAGTGGTCTTATACAAGTCAAATACAAGTTTAGTTTATTAAGGCAAGAGACGTATCTTGTATAAATTGATCTGACAAATGCCAGACGATGTTTGGGGGTAATGCTTCACCAAAGAATTATTTTATTTTCTTTGTTGGCGTCCGCGCCGAAGCGCGGCGCTCTTATGGAATGAGATCAGATTTTGTGAAAGGGCGACAGCAACTTCTCGAGCCTTTTAGTCGGTCATAATAAAAGCCGATAATTCCGATCGGTATGAGGGTGCTTGATTATTAAATAAGAATGAAATGTCGCGATATGTTACAATGAATTTTCGCAATGCAAACATTTTCAAATGAAATAACCTTTTCCGTCAATAAATTGCGCTCTTCGGGATTTTTTATTTATCATTTTGTAATACACAGTCGGTTATCATGGTATGTTATTGTTGTACATGTATCCTAGAATGATCAGTTGATGACCTAAATATTCCAAAAACCTATTTATAGATATATCTATTTATCACTCCTATCGGTAAATGCCGGTCTCTCCCGGTCTATTTTGACCAGGATTTACTAGTGACCGGCGAAAACGTACCACACGTTTATTGTCTGGTCTCACCCGGTTTTGGAGTAGATGTTTGATATCGTTACAATTAGAAAAAAACAACAACAATAGCATGTTTCATTTTATCTATATGAGATAAACACAATAAATATGTACACGGATTTATATGTAACATAAATCCGTGATATGTACAATAATTGAGAAAAAGGTACAT